TCATCCCCCAGCACCCCAAGTCCTTGTCCTTCTCAGGGCTGCTTTGTCTCTCCACTCTGTCACAGCTGTATTGTAATAGTTAATTCCCCCTGCCACCGTGCAAAGACGTGCTCGAATGCACTGTTGGGTTATAAGCTTTTTGGCATGGGGTGAGGATCAGGTATTGCCTGTGAGCTGGAATGAGTGATGGTGTTTAAGTGGCCTTTAAGGCTGTTGGTGTCATTCAGCAGTGTGAAACAGGCATGCCACAGCGTTCAGGAGTGTAGCCCTTGGAAAGGATCGTTATCAACCTCGTGTGTGCTTGCTGGAGGCCCTTTGTCCTCAAGTTCAACACTGGAAAGAAGCAAAAGATGACGGTTTGTGATTGTATGTGCTTGGCCGCAGGAAGAAGAATGACCACCCGTAGCTATGCCGCTCTAATCCTTGCTGCCTGGATCAATGCGGTCTTCTGGGCTTCCATGCCTGCTGTAGGCTGGGCTAGCTACGCCCCGGATCCGACTGGAGCAACCTGCACAGTAAATTGGAGGAAAAATGACGTGTAAGATTCCCCTTCATGCTTTCTTTCCAATTTGCTCTCTTGTTGTAGGCTAAGACCATTTATTTCACCACTGTTTGAGCATAACTTCTTCTTTCTGAAGTACGAAGCCTGGTTTATAAAAATAATTTTGAAACAATGGTAATTATATAGAACAAGTCTAGAAAAAAAACATCGGAATCGAGCCACGCTTGAAAACCGCAAGATTTGTACTTGTTAATTAAAAAATTAAAACTAAAGAAGTTTTTTCCTAATTCTTTCAAAGCTTGTTTGAAAATTTCATAATCAAATCAAAATATCAAATTCTTCGGTAACTTCTCCTGGATGGCTATTTGTAAGTTACTGTGTTTTCTTTTTCTGTCTTATCAGGTCCTTTGTTTCCTACACAATGAGTGTAATTGCTGTTAATTTTGTTGTACCTTTAACAGTCATGTTTTACTGTTATTACAATGTTTCCCGGACAATGAAACAATATGCCAGCAGTAAGTGCCTGGAGAGCATCAACGTCGATTGGTCGGACCAAGTAGATGTGACAAAGGTACGTGTGGGCACGTGTTGTTTGAAGCGTGCTGTTCTGCGTGGTCTTGAGGCAAAGGAGCAGTGCAGCCTCTTAAGCATTTGTTTCCTACATTCCCTCATTTCCTTTTATACTAAATATTAACCCAAGTTTAGCCTTGGTGAAAACTCCTGGCTTGACGCATAACAATAGGTTCTTTATTTTGGCCTAATACTCTTTCCAGATGAATGGGTGCTTTGAAGGCTGGGAGCAAGGTGAATTTTCCTTGGCTCTGCCCTCTGTCATTACATAAAAATATACCTCAGAGGTGTCCTAGGAGGACTTTTACTCCGTGTCTGCAGAGTCCTTCGGCTCTCTGCGAAGTATCTGGTCGGAAATGGAGTGGGCAACTCTGATTTGAACTCGTGGCCTAGAAATGAAAGTGTATTTCCAAGCTCCCGAGCTGTGTGATCCTGATCCCTTGTTCTTTTCAGCTGGTTGAGCTTATCGCGTTCTTAAGCAAACAGTAGCAATTGTGAGTCATGACATAAAATGATATATCCTGCCTGGAAGGTGGACATTCTTTTAATCTATAAAAGGCCTTGAGAAAGCTTGAAGTTCACTAGCTCCTTTGATTTTTGTGTAAAGTGATGATTTATGGTTGGACATGATTAAAAAAAGAGAAAGTTTTCCAAGGAATGTGAAGTTTGTATTGATAAGCAACTCAAATGCATAGGTACATACTCTTCTGTCCAATTCTTTCTCATTTGCTAAATTCTGAAAAATGGTATTTTTACCTAAAAATAATAATTTGAGCCTTTTGCTCTTCAGAAGAACTTTCAGGATGCTTGAAACTGAGGATTCAGTTATAAATTTAGACTAATTTGTGAAGAAAATGTTGTGGGTTTTTTTGTTTGTTTGGTTGGTTGCTTGTTTTTTTTCTGTTTTGCTGTTGAAGACACCTTGTTTTATTTCTTCACCTTTTTTTCTCTTTTAAATATAAGATTGAAGCTTTGAGGTTATGCAGTATCCTCCTTTAGAACTGGACTGCTTGCTTTTTCACAGATTAGCATCCTTTCCATGCACCAAACTAACTTCTAAACAAAAGGGTTCTTTCTTCACACCTGATCAGCAGGTATTGCATTTGTATTCAATAGGAATCTTCCATGGAGGGAGTCGCTGCTCGTTTATTGGTTGTGCTCCAAAACAGCTACTCCAGAGTAACCGTTTACTTCTTGTTTGTCAGTTTGTTCATTGCTGCAATAAGGGTACAGGCAAGCAACAGTAGCAATCCTGTATGTACAAAGAGCCCTGTGGTTTTGTTTGGTTCTCTAGTGATTTGGCTTAGCCTCTTGATTAATTTGAGTTTTCCATTTTCTATTACCGAGTCATGTCCCTGACGAAAGCCAGAAAAGTCTGTCCTGGTTGATTCCTCTCCTCTCCCAGTCCTCGCAGTTTGTCACTGTGCAGTTCCAGCTGTGGTGTGTTCTGGGGTGTGAGCCCCAACGTGCCCAGGTTGTTCACTCTGACAGGCAGGCAGAGGAGACACGACTGCTCAGATATCCTCAGTTTGATGCTTGAACGTGGCTGTCATGCTTCATAGAATCCCAGACTGATTTGGGTGGGAAGGGACCTGGAAGATCACCAACCCCCCTGCCATGGGCAGGGACGCCTTCCACTAGACCAGGTTGCTCCAAGGCTCATCCCGCCTGTGCCTGGA